CCTCCCCGAGGGGGCGCGGGGGGTGTTAATTAGCCCTGTTAATTGCCCCCAGGTCCCCCTCCCCCGAGCCCATCTACAACAGCGAGGGGAAGCGCCTGAACACGCGCGAGTTCCGGACGCGCAAGAAGCTGGAGGAGGAAAGACACACCCTGATCACTGAGATGGTGGCTCTGAACCCCGACTTCAAACCCCCTGCCGACTACAAGTGAGCGCCTGCCCCTTTTTGGGCCAAATTCCGGCTGTTTTGGGGCTTTCCTGCTCTTCTCACTGGTGTGTGTTTCTCCCCAGGCCGCCGGCCACCAGGGTGAGCGACAAGGTGATGATCCCGCAGGACGAGTACCCCGAGATCAACTTTGTGGGGCTCCTCATCGGACCCAGGTGGGGCTGCACCCCCCCCGGGCACCCCCTCATTTGGGGAGGGGGCTCCTAACGACCTCAGGCTGCTAATGAGCCCGGGGGCTTAATGAGTCTAAGGCACCCGGCCCCTAATAAAGCTGGGGGTTTGTTTAGTTTGCCTGTGGGTTTGGGGTGGGGGGTACAGGGCAGTTTAGGGGGTTACACCCCCTCTTCAGTGTCACCCCAGTAATTAGGGGAGCTCTTAACGATGCTGAGTGCTTAATGACATAGGGCTTTTAATGAGGCTGGGCTGTTAATGAGGCCAGGCCCCTAATGAAGCTAGGGTGCTGCTGTCTCTGCCTGCAGGTGCCCCAGTGAGTTTTTGGTGGGGATCTCCCCCCATTTTGAACCCCTCACTCTAATTTCCCCCCTGTCATCCCCTAATGGGCTGTTAATGAGGCTGGGCCCTAATGAAACTGGGGGTTTGCTCACCTTGCCTGTGGGGCTGGGGTGGGGGGTACAGGGCAGTTTAGGGGGTGACACCCCCATGATTAGGGGGGGTCTCTTAACGATGCTGAGCGCTTAATGACATAGGGCTTTTAATGAGGCTGGGCTGTTAACGAGGCCAGACCTCTAACGAAGCCGTGGCGCCGCCGGGTCCCCCTCTCCCCTGGGGCGGGTTTTAGGGGGCCATGTGCCCCCCACCAAAGGGAGCTGTGCCCCCCACCCCAGGGGGAACACGCTGAAGAACATCGAGAAGGAGTGCAACGCCAAGATCATGATCCGCGGGAAGGGCTCGGTGAAGGAGGGGAAGGTGGGCAGGAAGGACGGGCAGATGCTGCCGGGGGAGGACGAGGCCCCGGACGCCCCGGG